CACAGTCTGACTCTAGACCTCCTGAACAGAGACCCAGACCCTGAGGAGCCTCCCCACCAGCGCCTATTCCTTTCATCCCCCGCCCCCTCACCCTTCCAGGAGTGGGAGGGGAGAGGCAGGATGGAGTACCAGTCAAGAGGATTACCCTTCCCTACTCCATTTTCCCTTCTCCTGTCACCGATTTCTGACCGGCTGTCGATCCTATCAGGGGTCCATAAAGTGCGAGGACTCTGGCCCAGGAGGGGGGGGTAGGGGTTAGGCAAACAGACCAGGGAGGCAGTTGGTTGAAATTTAACCACAATATTCTTGGTCTCTATTGTTTTGAGTGAGGCCCAATATTTCCACAGCAGGATTATAGGATCTGATTAACCATGTCAGACAACAATGCCGAGTTGGGATGGGCTTCCCCTTCCAGCTGCCAATATGAAAAAGTAAATACAACACCCAGATTTCTGAAGGGACTCCCAGCAGCCCCCGAGCCCTACTCCCCAATTTTAGCTCTGCTACTGTTTTTGACCCCAAAGTGAGAGGAGGAAGGAACAGTGCGGCACTGCATGCTCCCTTAACTCCTGGCCCAGGTCCCAGCAGGACAAGTAATCCTGGCACAGTCTTCCCAGGTGAGTCAATGACTATGTGCTCCCCATTCTCCCGACTTCTTCAAATATCTCTTCCGGGTTCCCTCAGGATACTATGAGCCAAGAGGCTGGGACTCATAGAGTCCAGGAGTGTGGAAAGCATGGCAAAAACTAAGTTGCAGGCAGGACTTAAACAGTTGAGAGGGGTGATTAAGTTTTTTCTAGAATGTTCTGGAGCTACCAATGCCTCCCCATGTGCAAGGGTGGAGAAGACAGACCCCAGAAATATGGGGAAGCAAAAAATACCACCGAAGAAAAGATAAACACATGCAATTTGCAGCAACATGGATGGAGCTGGAAGGGATCATGCTCAGCAAAATAAGCCAGAAAGAAAAAGAAAAATACTGGATGGTCTTACTCATAGCAGGAATCTAGAAAACTTAAATAAAGGACCAGGAAAATGAAGAACTATAAGAAAGTGAAAATCAAAATCAACAAAAAACTATGAACCAGAGACACTCTATGGGGGGTAGGAGGCGGGGAGGGGAGGGATTGGGGTCAAAATAAGGGGGTTGCAATTGTATGGGGAATATAAAAATAAAATTTATTTAAAAAAAAAATACCACCGAAGTCCTCAGGGGACAGGAAAGTATTCCTTGAAAGATTTTGGGTTGAAAGACAGAGGATAGATGGGCTTGGGGCCCCTCGAGTAGAGAGGGACTCCCAAGGGCCCGGCCACCTCATGCACACACAAGCTACCTCGTCCCCTCCCAACTCCAATGTTTCCCCTCAAGGTGGGATCTTCTGAGGCCTTATCTAAGGAATATGCAAGACAAAACAGCAATCAGAAGCCTCCAACTTCCAGGTCACAGCAGCTACATCACAAAGTGGGGGCTCCCTTCTTCTCTGGCATTTCTCCCTGTACCTAAGTGCCTACTACTGATGACAGGCCACTATTTGGGGAGCCCATGCATTTATTGATGCTGATAACAGAGCAGTAATCAGCCTTCTTTGAACTCTGAGTCTGAGAGCTTCTTTGTATTCTGTTACTCCTTTTGAACGGTTTCTTCTTCAGGAAAATTGGAAGTTAGAAAACACTTCATTCAGGGCAAAGTTTGGAAGAAGTACATCCTGATTGTATCAGAGGCCCAGTTAACACAAAGCTGCCCCCTTTAGTAGTATAACCCAGCACAGTGGAAATTCTCAAGCTAAAACTGAATCTGTTCTCAAAGAATATAATCTCACGAAGAGCACACAGTCCATAAACACAGACTGCATGGGGAGCAGAGAGTGAAGGACAAGCACAACAGAGCAAAGTGAGTTCACCACATCACAACAAAGGGTTATTCAGATTTTCAGATATCCCCTATACTCTTTGGAGCAAATCTTCCTGGTCGCGTAAATAGGAGGAAATGAGGGACAGAATAATTGGAGAGAAAATGCCCCCAGTGACAATGTCAAGAATAACACTAAATCTGGGACCAGCCTATCCCATTCCCCACTCCTTCAGCCATCTTTGTGCAGAGAATAACCCAGGGGCCCCTGCTCTCTCCTAGCAGGACCGGAGCAAAAGAGGAGGCAGGGGTGTTGGAAAATGGGAGGTTTACAGAAAAGGGAGAAAAGAGAAGGCATTTCAAATGTATCATGGGATAAAATAAAGGAGAGAGAGGGGGATTCGGGAGAGCTGAGCATCTCTCTGACCTCCAGTGCTCACTGTGGGGGACCACACCAGGCCGGCCAGGGCCTCGATCGGACAGGGTGGATCCTTCCAGAATCCTGATACAGGCGCACAGTTCTCACTATTTGCCACCTTCAGCCCTAGGAGTTTCAGGACTAGCTACTCAGGATTCAGTGGGAAGATGAAGTCAAGGAAGGCTTTCACTTCTCAACAACTCTGCTTATCCCGTGGAAACACTCCTTGATCTGGGAGACTGATGGTGAGGGGAGAAGAGAATGGCCGTAAGTGGGATTTTCCAGGACCAGCCTGGGGCTGTGCCTCCAAGGGCTGCTGGGAAAGCCCTCAGTGAGGCCTGAGTAAAGGAGGCACTGCCCAGCAGGAGGGCTAAGGGACGAAGAGTTCTCTTCCAGCAAAGAGCTTGCCTGTCAGGCGAACGGTGGGGGAGGAGTGAACCAGGGCAAGGCCAGGTCGGCCTTGCAACCTAGGTGGCGCTATTTCTCTACTTTTTAGGTCAAGTTCTTGCAGGAACTTCCTCGAGGTCCCTAGTCCTGCTCCTGGTTTGCTGACTTGCTCGTGTAAACCACCTTATATTATTTTTTTTTCTAAAAATACTCCAAAGCAATTGAAAGAGTCCCTTCTCCCACCAGCCAGCCCTGGCCCCAGCCCCGGCCCCGGGGAGCGGGCGGGTAGGCGGGGAGGTGGGCCACTGCTTTATTAAACACAGGGAAAACTAATATTTACGGAATAAAATTTATGGAGCAGCCACGAGAATTCGACCCTTTTATGTGCATGTGGAGTGGGGGTTGGGCCAGGCTGGGGGCCTCGGGGAGGGGCCCAAGCCAGGGGGCAGGGCTGGAATACAGCCTGGCTAGGCCAATTTGTCAAGGCAGGGGTTTCCCTGGAGTTGCCCAGGATGAATGATTCTCAGCCACCACCCCCAGCTCTGGGGGGTAAGGGTTTCAGGGCAAGAACGCTGGAGGCAGAGCTCTAGGAGCTGTTTCTCCAAGGATGTGTCGAGGCAATATCCCCACGGAGGCGGCCACCTCTGGGTATAAAGGGGCCAGTGGGTGAGAAGGGCATTGGGTAAACACTTACCTAACCTTTAAAAAAAGTCACCCATTTTTTTTTTTGAGAACATAAAAAGTTATGCTCTTAGCATTTTACTTACAATTTTGGGGGATTCACAAATCCCTGGTCCCTCTATAATGAAAGATGCCTGCTCTTGAGATTGTGCTTTAAGGCAGAGGGATTAACCAGAGTGCAGGCCCAGCATTTCCTCACTGCTTGCTGTCCATTCCCCATGTGGTCTCAGACCTTGTAGGCACTGAAATCTGGCTATCTACATTATGCCAAAAAGAAAGTAAGAAACACAGTGACATCTGATACAGTTTCTACAAGGTCTGCAACTCATCTCCACGGATTCCATCATGGCCCACCCTGGCACACAGCGGGCTGGAGGTAGAGAAAACCACCAGGAGAGTGTCGGGGTGAGCCCTGATGGAGCGCTGACTCTGCCACCCAGTAAAGACATGGGGGTCAGTCCTGGAGCCCTCAAAGTCTCCTGCCTCGAAGAAGCAATGGGGAGCAGAGCATCCTATTGAAAGTAGACAGGTCATGGAGGAAGGTTACAGGGGGAGGCAGGAAAGGACCTAGCAGTCCTCCTGGAAAATATTTCCAGAACATACATGATAATGCTGGGAAGCACTCAGCTATCTGGGTTCAAATTCTAGCTGTGACTATTAGTTGTGTGGCTTTTGCTAAGTCATCTAATTACTTCAGGACTCCACTTCCCAGTGAGTTACCCGTTACTCAGATGATGCTGTGTGAACCTACCGTTGGGTGCTGATTAGAGCCCCTGGTACACATTACTGTCCGTAAATGTTAGCTTTTTATTACTGTTGTTGTCCTTACTATAATCATCATTTTATATTGCTTAGACTGTCCTCTCCCCCAAGACTTAGCATGAGGATGGAAACACCAGCTTGAGCTAAAGAGGGGATGTGGATGAGAAGGCATTTGGCCATCAAAAAGAAATAAAAAAGGAAAGACCCCTGTGGGTTCTGCTCCTCTACTTAACAGCTCCCAATCAACATCTAAGTTCTACTTGGCTTCCTGCCCTTCCAAGGCAAAGTTTCAGAAGGTCTTACCCACAGAGGAAAATCTAGCAGAGAAAGCCAGGGGCTTTGTTAATCCTGGTCTCTATATCTAGCTAGATATGTCCAAAGAATTGACTCTCTGTTTAAGACTCTGCTTACATCTCACAGCCTTTACATTTTTCCTGCTAAGCACTATTTGTTCTGTAGGTCAAGTCTGTTGTCGCAGGGAATGACTGCGGCCATTTCCTGTTTCCTGCCATCCTATCTTTTCCTTGTTCTTCTAGTTATATGTTATTTGAAGTGGAGTGAATAATGGGAAAGGAAAATCCCTTTTTTTTCTTACTCCAGTGGGAGTAAGGAATTACCTTGACCCTAATGCTTGGAGCGCATTGTAATTTCAATCCTGTGTTTGGATTCACCTGTTGTCTCTGCCATGGAAACACATTTAAAAGACACAATAACCACACATCAAATTGGACAGAAGAACACAGCAGACTTGGGCCCACCATGGAGAGTTCTCAAGCTCAGAGCTCCCTCATGGAGACAGTACAGCCACGGAAGAGAAGCATAAGAAGAATCTCAAGGATTGGACTGAGGCCTAGACTTCACCCAGACACAACCAAGGGGTGGGAGTGGTGAATGTGTTCTACCAAGAAAGTAAACTCAAAAGCAGGGGAGTGTGACTGCTTTTATTTCATGCTAGAGAGAGAAGCGGGTGGCGAATACCAGAATTGGCTCAGGACTCTTTCGAAAGGCAGACAAGGCTTCCTTCAGCATGTTGTGCCTTTTTGTAGACTTGCCCTATATACCTAAAGTCCAGGGTAGGGTCCTAGGCCGAGAAAACCTTCACCAACAGAAAGGAGAATATGGAATTCCCAGAGACTGGCTTCCACTTGGGCAGGGAATGCCCGATGGGTGGGGGCCGAGATTCCCAATGCCCCCCCTTAACAGAACCCACTCAGGAGGCCTATCAATGTGAACTTCAGTTATCTCGCCTTACAGTGGGGCCTCGGACAGCAGAACCTGTATAAAAGATACTGTCCGGCGAGTGCCTTTCAGGGTGACACTAGGACGCTGTTCTCCAAGGCCATCCTCAGCAGCTGAGAGTGACAGGTTAACTGAAGAGCCCCTTTAGCTTCTTCCTCTTGACCTTTGAGAGCTGAGGTCTCTGCAGAGGGCCCGAAGTTTCCTTCAGGGGGGAAAAAAGGGAACACAAGTTAGTAAGGGTTTGAAACAGTTCCACTTCAGTGAGGGAAGGAACTCGTTCCCTCCCATGGCTCTGGTTAGGGGAGGTCTTGATGTGACTGGCATGGCTGCTTTGAAATCTACGTCAGGCAGTGACTGTGACAGAAGACTCCGCAAGAGACGTGTACTCCCTTCCTCCACAGCAAACAACCTCACGGCCCATCACTGGAAATGGGATATGGTAGGCAAGGAGTCAGGATTCATCAGGCAGTACGAGAACTGTGGAGAGGAGACAGCACAGGAAGGTGGGCAAAGGTCTCCATCTAGAGGTGTACATATTAGAAGTGGGTTCACAAATATCCCCCAATGTTGTTAGGCAGCATTAACTAGGTGGCAATTCCAGGGTCCGCTGGCTTGGGGGCTACAGGTACTGACGCAGCCAACTCTCAGTACACCATCCAGGAAGTGCTCACGACTCACGGTGGGCTCCGGGAGGGATGGTTCTGAAGGCACGGGCTGTTCCTGCTGGTTCAGAAGCTGGCCGTCAGTTTCTTGGGGGCAGGTGCTGTGAGCCGTCTGAGGATCTCCTGAAATCAGAAAGATCCAGGAAGCTAGTGATAAATGCTTGCTTACCAGGAAGATACTGGCATTTGCCAAGCATTCCCATAAAGCCAGGGTGCGGTACTAATACATAAACAGACAGAGGAGTCACTAATCCAAGTCCCAGCTGACTTTTGGCTTCCCCAGGCCTATGATGATTCCCCAGGCCTACTCTGACCAGGTAGGAAGAGTTTCCTTGACTCAAAATAGCTAGCTGCTCTCCTATACACTTCCTGACATGTCTCAGGTAGGGAATTAATCTTTCTCTGATTCTCTAGCTAGTTCTCCTTAATACCTACAACAATTCAAATAGAACTTTCTATAATGATGGAAATGTTCTGATCTGCGCTGTCCAGCTTCATAGCCACTAGCTACATGTTATCCCTGAACATTTGAAATGTGACTAGAACAAATGAGGAAATGAATTTTTCACTTTATTTAATTTTTATTAATTTAGACAAAAATAATCACAAGTGGCTACAGCCACCACATGGGACAGCACAAACCTAGGCCCAAACTCCATAAGCCAGGGAGACCAAGTACTGGAGGAGCTACTCACCAGTGTCTTGATGCCTCTGTGCCTCCTGGACTGCTTGTCTGGTCACTGCCACATACAGACTCTGTAGATTCATGACAAAGGGTCTGCCGTCACCAACACCGCATGTCTCAGGTAGTTTCTAGAGGAGAGAGGATGCTGCCGTTGGCTACACTGTATTGCCAGAGAAAAGGGACTCGCTATCCCATGGACAGAACTGGCAACAGCCCCAAAAGAATTTTTATAGAAAAGTCAGAGCCAATATTTTATTCTAGAATGTCCATATTCAAGCTTGTTGGGACCAACAGAAAGACCTGTTAGGATGTCTTCTTCTCTGAAAAGCAACACCATACCTACACCTTCCTCTCCTCCAATAGTTGGGTCTGCTCTGCTTCTCCACGAACTTGGCTGTTCTTGAGGCTCTTTCTTCCAAAGGGATGACCTCTTAGGACTCTGTTTTAGGAAATCACCTTCCCTAAACTGTCCCTGAGCTATACAGACTATTATTTTGATTAAATGCACACCTATATGTGCACAAGAGAAATGCTGAAATCCAGAATTGGGAGAAGACTGCAGAAGAGGAATGACAGACTAAGAAACGAGAAAATCATGGAGCTGAGACATTCAGTCAGAGGAAATGGGAGAAATAATGTTTATAAAATTTGGAGGTTCACTTGCCATTTCATATTCCCTACTACAATTCCATTGTACGTTCCTGTCACCCATGAACTCACAATGGGGGCAATATTTCCCTCAATGGGAGCAAAAATTGGTTCTGGAGAGGTAAAAAAAAAAAATCTTACCCTTTTAAAAATATAAAGCACAAAGGAACATAAACAGAGCTTGAGTATAGCGGTGGTATTAAAATTTCCTGAAAGGGGTGTTAGGAAAAAATGTCTTAAAAGGTTTCTTAGGAAGGTGATAATAATTATTTTAAAGGTGCGAAATCTGCTATAATTGCACTGTATTTATCTGTTTCTTTCACTATGGAATGAACTGTGGACTTATATGCACAGCAAAATGCTTTGCCGAATCTGAGTTCCATGCACTTGGCTGAATTGAGTTGAGTAACAACGGAAGACTAAAGAAAGTGAGTAAAACTGCGATGCAGGAGTATTGTATAAGGCGGCACCTAACCTGGTTGTACCTCAGAATCTCACAGGGGCCCACTACTTCGTCTGTCCTTAGGCACACAAACTGCCAAGCTAGCAGGTCTCCAAGGGAAGCCATGCCAGCAGTCACGGGGGAACCAACCCAAGGCCACTTTATCTGTGCTATGAGGACGTTCATTTCTGCAAACCCATCGTGGAAGAGGGTGGAACACAGAAAGTGAAGAAGCAATAAAGTAGACTCTGAACCATAGTCAGGATCATACAGTTTTCCTTCCCTGAATGTGGTGGTAGCTTAAACGTGTTCTCTCCAGGAAATGGAACCTACATTTCTAGTCCAAGCCTACCCCCATAAAGACTGTATCAGGCTGGGATGTTCACTGGAAACCACAGACACTGAATCAGGCGCCTTGAGTGCAGACTTTGCTTCTAGCCAGAGATCACCCCAGAGTATAACAGCCCTCTTTTCAGCAGCATTCCTGAAGGAACGGACTGAGACTGGGAGGCAAACTATCATGTCACATACCTCGACTCCACCTCGCTCCTTCCTAGCTCAGCTCTCCAAGCCCCAAGCCACCTCCTCTGGCAGAAGGTCCCCTACACTATTGTCAGGGAGCCCTGACAGTCAAGAGGCCAACTGCTCTTGTTCTTCCTTCTAGATCATGTCTCCAGGACCTCCTTTCATATTATCAAGAAATGGGCCCTCCCTAACACGGCTCAAGAGGAAATGAGCTGTCCGTACAGATGGGGAGACAGGTCTAGGCACTCCGGGGTCATGTCTACCTGCCCTTCCCATGCAAATGGACTCCTATGTCCAGGGTGATCTCTAGTCAGTTCATGCATTTAGGTTCAAAATGAAGTGCGAGGAATGACAGGTCACTAAAGTCAGTGCTTGTCCTCCTCCTGAATCCAAATCAAAAATCTGTATCTTAGGGCTCCTGTGTCCTTCCCTGTTTTAGGGAGATCTGGTCCTGCAGCTGCTGCCAAAGGTTATTCCTGCTGCGTGTTTGTCTCAGAAAAGTACTAGGAAGAGAAAATTTGTCCACTTGCCACAAATTTACAATGTGCAAGACATTGTTCTAAGGATTTTAATGTATTCAGGCATTTCGTCCTGGTCACTGCTGTTTCCTGGGCTCCCAGAACAACCTGGCCCGCAGGCGGGGCTCAATAACCACTTGTAAGTGAAGGGGCAAGGCAGGCCCAGTGTGACCCCATTTTCACTGGGGAGTTGAAGCACGAAAGTGGTGAGGCAGGAAGAGAATCCTGACAGCCTGGCTTCAGGGCCCACGCACACAACTGCCCTCCAGTCTACTTCTCCAATAGCAGGACTTTGGTCAACGGGGGAATACAGTTTTCCAAGGACTACAGGCCTCCACCCTCCCCTCACAGGCCATCAGCCTGTATTCCCAGCCAGTCAGCTCAGGAACAAGCTCCCTCAGGAGACAAGGAAAAGTGAGCAGACAGAAAGGAGGCAGCTGTCCTTTACTGGAGCCGCAGGAACTGAGAGGCGACTCCCTTGGTCCTATCCTAGCTGTGCCTGGCCCTCAGCCTCAGAAAATGTGCGGGAAGAGAGGTGGGGAGAGGGAGCTGGGGCAGGAGAAACATCCGCTCCTGGCTCAGGACAATGGCGGGGCCAGGTGGGACTGGCGGCAGAGAACAAAGGAAGAACACCTCAGTCAGGACTGGGCAAAGCAAACAGCAGTGCCCCTGGCAATAAGTACCCCGAGCCGGGATCAAGGTGTACCCGCCAGAGAGCGGGTCACTGCCCAGAGTGGGGAGGGGAGCAGGAGACAGGCCGGTCTACTGTATAATGTGTTCATCTGATTAACCCAGGATCAATTCTACTCAGCAAAAAAGTGACTGAGATTCTGCTGTGTGCTGGCACCAGAGGGCTGGGGGCAGGGAAAGCACCACCATCCTCCCTTCCTCACAACAGGCCTGAGGGAGCACAGAGAAATCAGTCACATCCCTGCCTTGAGGAGTTGCACCCTCATGTGAGAGACAGGTAGACGGTGGTGCCCCCTCCATGCTCTGTGCCATAACAGAGCTGTGGGCAGAGAGAGAGGAGCCCCGAGAGGAGAGGACCGGTCTGAGGCCCAGAAAAAACTTCAGAGGTGGCGCCATCAAGCTAAGGCCCGCAAGAGCAGGTTTTAAATGTGTGTGGGGGGGAGCGTTTGAGACACAAAGGTGGGAAAAGACAGGATAGTATGGACGTATCTCACAGGAAATGAGACTAGAAGGCTAAACTCTCCCGTGTGTTGCCAAGAGCTTGGTTTTCTGAATTGAGGATGTGGTCGTGGGAATTTCCTTGGTTTCACAAAGTGGCTTTCTACAGGACCCCGCCTCTTTGGCTCCCGGCTATTGGGTTGTCAGAAAAGTCATGACGTATTTTGCATCATGACTTTTCCGACAGCCCAATATATTAATACAGTGAGGAGGAATCAGAGCCTCCTCTGGCTTTCCCTTTTAGTTCTGCTACACTTACATAAACTCTCTTCCTGTCTCTCCACTACACATTGACACGACTGTTCAACAGACCCAACAGCTACTCTATTCTCCCATCTCCAATCTTCTGGAACTTTGGCCCCTGCTATGTGGCCATGTCAGAGCTTTAGGGAAACCTAAATAAAACCTCGAGGGGGTCTCCCCGGTGGTGCAGTGCTGTGAAGCTGTCCGCAGCCTCTGCAGTGTGGGTTCGATTCCCGGTTGGCCAGGGAGATTCCCACTTGGCATGGCAGACCTCTCCTGCTCACCTGCTGCTCCCCTCAGTAGTATATTTAGGTCCTTCTGCCTTTTCTGCTCCTTGCTCTGTCTCTGGTGAATCCTTTCACCCTCCCATGCTTCTAGCCTGTACCCCAGTTCTTGTATAAAAAAAATCTTTTTAAAAAACCAACTCATTTCTAAATAAATAAATAAAACCCCTAGGGCAAATTTTATTTCTCCTGTCCTTACAGTAGCCAATCTCAGCTCCCAGGGCACAAGCTTCCCTCTGTGGGGGTGATATCCATCTTCATCAAGTGTGAAATTCACTCCCAGAGGTCCAGAAATTTTTCTCTGATTCCATCAGGATCTGTTAGAGCAATCCCAACTACCATTTTCTTTCTTTATATAGACATATACATCAAATATACATATATACATTTATCAAAAGGGAAAGTTTATTACATATTTAAAAAAGGAAAGACAGGACAGCAGCAGCTGTCTGTGCAGCAGCTTGCACAGACATAGCAGACAGGAAGAGCTGCTGCTGCTGTTTTGCAAAGGGAAAAGGCCATGAAAAAAAAAACACCTGCATAGTCACAGGCAGGTAGGAGAGCTGTCCCAATTGCCATTTTCAGCAAGAAATAATAGGTCTGATCCTACCCCCACCCCCTCCCATCTCATCCTTCTTTTCCTTTAAGGCTGTTTCAGGAAAGAAACCTTGAGGATACTGGGTCAAGAAAGGCTGGGCCTTGATACTCCACTCACCACACTCACCACGGGCTCACAGGCTGAGGATATGTTAGACAGACAGAAGAGAAAGGGGAAATGCACAAACTGAAGCTCCTAGTGCCAGCCTCAAGCAGGTGCTTGGTTCTGGTGCCAGCCTCCCCAGCCTGAAGCTGGCATGGCCCCGAGGCCCTGACTGTCATAATATCACAACTGGGGGTGCAGGTAATGAGGGACTTCCCTTAGGGTAAGAATGCCTCTCCTCTCTCCTGCACTGGTGGGCTCTGCCAGTGTGGGTACAAGCTTCTTCCTTCCCAGTCTTGAGGAAGTCATGGTGGCTTTCATTTAGCTTCTCTTAGGGGAAAATGCACACTGAAAACTCTTCCATGGTCTCAAATTACCAAAGGGTTAGCAAAATAAATAGCTAGAAACAAGAAAAATAATTTAGGGAGGGGATACAAATGAGCGACTTCAAGAAACAGGACCCTCCCTCCCCAACCCCATTCCATTCATTCAGCAAATATTTACTGACCACCTATGCACTGATAATGATTTAGATGCTGGGGATCTAGCATACTGAACAAATGAGATAAATGTCCTTAGT